ACCTGCTCCTGCCATGACTTGGTGCAGACAAGTGCTGCCCCTTCCAGAGCTTGCATTATTATTCTTTGTGCTTTGATCCACTAGAATCGTGAGGCAAAAAAATCCAGTTTCTTCATAAAGTAGCTTGTCTAAGTTATTTTTTTATTTTACAGGCAGAGATAGACAGTGAGAGAGAGAGAGACAGAGAGAAAGGTCTTCTTTCCATTGGTTCACCCCTCAAATGGCAGCTACGGCCAGCGTGCTGTGCCGATCTAAGCCAGGAGCCAGGTGCCTCCTCCTGGTCTCCCATGCGGGTGCAGGGGCCCAAGCACTTGAGTCATCCTCCACTGCCCTCCCGGGCCACAGCAGAGAGTTGGACTGGAAGAGGAGCAACCGGGATTAGAACCCGGCACCCATATAGGATGCCGGCGCCACAGGTGGAGGACTAACCAAGTGAGCCACGGTGCCGGCCCTAAGTTATTTTTTAATACTAACAAAAACACTGACCAATACACCAACCCTCTGCACATCTACCACAACATCTTTGTTGGGTAGATTTTATGGGAGGGAATGGAGTGCAGAAGTCAGCTGGTACCCAGGACGTTGGGGCAGGGTGCAGTTGGCAGGCAGGCATGGAGAGGAAGTAAGCCTAGAGCATATGTAAACTGAGGTTGAGCATGCTCCATGTCCCATCCAGCTTAATTGCTGAAGAACAATATTCAGGGCTTCAATACAGTGGGTGTAGAGCATTACACTTCAAGGAGAGCAGGGGGCTATGTGACATCACTTGTCATATGCTCATGGAGCCAGGCCTGCTCCAGCTTATTAATAATGTCAAAAATCTGGATGTCCTTAGGCTCAGCCCTGTGTCCCTGGCCTGGCTCCTAAAGCTGAATTGTTTGCAAGCCAGAGCAGCAAATATTAAAAAAAAATCAGTACATGTGCCTTTAGTAGCTCTGGGAATGCTTGTTATGAATTAATGGACTTGAAGACAAGTTTATAGAAAAGACATGCTCAAAGCTGCATATAGAGAAATACAAACACAGTCCTAACAATAATGGACAGGCCCTCTATTGAGCACTTTATGTGCCTTAGGTCAGTTAATCCTCTCAAATACTCTGTGAAGTATGTACAATTACTATGTCTTCATTTTAATGATAAGAAAATTGAAGTTCAAAAACGTAAGTCATCAAGCCAAGGGCATATCCTTAGTAATTGTATCTGTCTGATTTCAGAGTCTACAATTTCTCACCATGTCTTGTATTCTAGGAGGATAATTTAGATAATATTATCTAAATACAGGCAGAAGGGTGAGAATGAGCAGGACTTATTTTGGTAAGACAGTGATAAAATACTACAGTTAATAGTCATGCTTTTTAAAAAATATGTATTTATGGGGGGCCAGCACTATAGCATGGTGAGTAAGGCTACCACCTGCAGTGTTGTCATTCTATATGGGCACATATGGGTTCAAGCCCTGGTAGTTCCACTTCTGATCCAGCTCTCTACTATAGCCTGGGTAGGCAGCAGAGGATGGCCCAAGTACTTTGGCCCCTGCACCCACATGGGAGACCCAGAGGAGGCTCCAGGCTCCTGGATTTGGATTGGCATGGCTCCAGCCATTGTGGCTATTTGGGGAGTGAATGAGCAGATGGAAGACCTCTCTCTCTCTGCCTCTGCATCTCTGTAACTCTGCTTTGAAATGAATTAAATAAATCTTCAAAAAATGTGTATTTATTTGAAAGGCAAATTTACAGCAAGAGGCAGGAGGTCAATTGAGGGGAGAGAGAGAGAGAGAGAGAGAGAGAGAGAGAGAGAGAAATCTTCCATCTGCTGGTCCACTCCTTAAATGGTGGCACTGGGTACATTAGCAAGGAAATGGATCAGAAATGGTGCAACTGAGACTCAACCCAGCACTCATATGGGATGTTGGTATCAAAGGCATTGGCTTAACTCACTGTGTCACAATGCTGGACCCAGTACTCATATTGTTAATGATGCAAAACCACAGTAGTTCTCACTTACATTAATTACATAAATAGTTATAGGCATAGGGATCCAGAACTAACTTTGCACAATGATTACTACCCACCCCTTTCTCCCTGAGATATTTACAGACAAACAAATGAAAGTATGTTTCATCAAAATGTTCATTCTCCCAAAAACAATTCATAAATTCAATGCGATACCAATCAAAATATCAAAGGCGTTCTTCACAGATCTGGAAAAAATGATGCTGAAATTCATATGGAGGCACAGGAGACCTCTAATAGCTAAAGCAATCTTGTACAACAAAAACAAAGCCAGAGGCATCACAATACCAGATTTCAGAACATACTACAGGGCAGTTGTTATCAAAACAGCATGGTACTGGTACAGAAACAGATGGATAGACCAATGGAACAGAATAGAAACACCAGAAATCAATCCAAACATCTACAGCCAACTTATATTTGATCAAGAATCTAAAACCAATCCCTGGAGCAAGGACAGTCTATTCAATAAATGGTGCTGGGAAAACTGGATTTCCACGTGCAGAACCATGAAGCAAGACCCCTACCTTTCACCTTACACAAAAGTCCACTCAACATGGATTAAAGCCTTAAATCTATGACCCGACACCATCAAATCATTAGAGAATATTGGAGAAACACTGCAAGATGTAGGTACCAGCAAAGACTTCTTGGAAAAGACCCCGGAAGCACAGGCAGTCAAAGCCAAAATTAACATTTGAGATTGAATCAAATTGAGCAGTTTCTGTACTGCAAAAGAAACAGTCAGGAAAGTGAAGAGGCAACACACTGATTGGGAAAAAATATTTGCCAATTATGCAACAGATAAAGGGTTAATAACCAGAATCTACAACGAGATCAAGAAACTCTACAACATCAAAACAAACAACCCACTTAAGAGATAGGCCAAGGACCTCAATAGACATTTTTCAAAAGAGGAATTCCAAATGGCCAACAGGCACATGAGAAAATGTTCAGGATCACTAACCATCAGGGAAATGCAAAAAAAAACCACAATGAGGTTTCACCTCACCCCGGTTAGAATAGCTCACATACAGAAATCTACCAACAATAGATGCTGGAGAGGATGTGGGGAAAAAGGGACACTAACCCACTGTTGGTGGGAATGCAAACTGGTCAAGCCTTTGTGGAAGTCAGTCTGGAGATTCCTCAGAAACCTGAATATAACCCTACCATACAACCCAGCCATCCCACTCCTTGGAATTTACCCAAAGGATATTAAATTGTCAAACAAAAAAGCTGTCTTAACCTTAATGCTTATTACAGCTCAATTCACAATAGCTAAGACCTGGAATCAACCTAAATGCCAATCAACAGTAGACTGGATAAAGAAATTATGGCATATGTATTCTTTAGAATACTATACCGCAGTAAGAAACAACGAAATCCAGTCATTTGCAACAAAATGGAGGAATCTGGAAAACATAATGCTGAGTGAACTAAGCCAGTCCCAAAGGGACAAATATCATACGTTCTCCCTGATCGGTGACAACTAACCAACCACAAAAAAGGAAACCTGTTGAAGTGAAAGGGACACTATGAGAAACAGTGACTTGATCAGCCCTTGTCCTGACTGTTGATGTATAATTTAATACTTTATCCCTTTTAGTATTTTTTTTGTTCTAGTTAATATTATTGGTTGAACTCTGTAATCAACACACATTTATTCTTAGGTGTTGAATTTTAACTGAAAAGTGATTCCTGTTAAATATAAGAATGGGACTAAGAGAGGGAGGAGATGTACAATTTGGGACATGCTCAATCGGACTTGCCCCAAATGGTGGAGTTAGAAATGTGCCAGGGGATTGCAATACAATCCCATCAAGATTGCATGTGCCAATTCCATCTCACTAGTCCAAGTGATCAATTTCAATTCATAATTGATCACACTGATAGGTCTAAGAGTCGAAGGGATCACACAAACAAGACTAGTGTCTGCGAATACTAACTGATAGAATCAAAAAGGGAGAGAATGATCCAACATGGGAAGTGGGATACACAGCAGACTCATAGAATGGCAGATGTCCTAAGCAGCACTCTGGCCTCAGAATCAGCCCTTAAGGCACTCGGATGTTGCTGAAGAGCCCATGAGAGTATTTTAGGCATGGAAAGCCAAGAAACTGGAAAAAAAACCTAAATGAAAGATCTCTGTGAGTGAGATCCCAGTGGAAAGAACGGGCCATCAAAGAAGGAGGTACCTTTCTCTGAAGGGAGGAGAGAACTTCCACTTTGACTATGACCTTGTCTAAGTAAGATTGAAGTCAGCAAACTCAAGAGGCTTCTATAGCCTTGGAAACTCATGACTTTAGCCTAAGGAGATTTCTGACGACTTAAACAAGAGTGGCAATTTGTTAAGTCAACAAGAGGAGTCACCGTGCACTTACTCCCCATGTAGGATCTCTGTCCTTAATGTGTAGTTCAATGTGAATTAATGCTATAACTAGTACTGAAATAGTATTTTACACTTTATGTTCTGTGTGGGTGCAAACTGATGAAATCTTTACTTAATATATACTAAATCGATCTTCTGTATATAAAGAGATTTGAAAATCAATCTTGATGTGAATGGAATGGGAGAGGGAGCGGGAGATGGGAGGGTTGTGGGTGGGAGGGAAGTTATGGGGGGGAAAAGCCATTGTCATCCATAAACTGTATTTTGGAAAATTATATTTACTAAATAAAAGTTTAATAAAATAAAAAAATAAAGTATGTTTATTCTCTTATAGAGTATCACCAAAATCCCTCCTAAAACATTTTATATGCTAAAAAGCTTTTGCCCAAAATCAGACTACATTATGACAACAGCCTTGAGAGGCATGCAAATTGCATGAGTTTGTCCTTGTTTTTCCCCAGAAAACTGAAGCTGGAAGAGATGAAGGGAATAACTAGCTCTTCATGTCTGCATAACTATGGCAGAGCCGAACATGACATCAGGTCTTCAAACTTCTGGTGTTCTTTCTGCTACAGCAGACAGACTCGCCCAGATATAAGGCTTAATGGGTGCCAAGGGTTAGGATCTATGATATAAGCCCTTGATCCTGGTAAATAGTGCATGCAATTGTGCTTTTTTATTGCTTCACTTCACTGAACAAAAGCATGTCTCACTACTTTCACATATAAACGAGTCTCCACGTCCTGTCAAAGAAACTCCAAGCTTCTTTTCAGAGAATTGTCACCCTTGAAAGATGGCCTTGAGCAGGAAAACATTTTCTTTTGTTTTTGTTTTGCTCTTCATTTTGGCTCAGCTTACATCAGGTATATGAAATGGATGGGATTTTGATGAGGCCAGCCTTGAAGCTAGATGATTCCCTATGAATCAACCCAAAATCAAGAGTGAAGTAAACCCCACAGTGTTAGTCATGGGCACTTATTGGACCTGCAGTGGAATTTTCTCAGGGTCAACTGCATATAGGGATCTTACTTTTTTTATTTTAACTTGTTCTTATAGGTCAGTTCTGACTTTGAGAAATAAAATAAAGATTCCAACTCTTCAGTCCCTTCAGGCCCTTGATGAGTATGTAGCATATAGGGCTGGGAATACTGTGTCTACAGTGTCATTTCCTGTATTGAAATTAATTTCTAAAATGCATTTTGTTTTGAATTTAGAGGGCCAGGCAGGACTCGATTATTCCCAGTCATTTCCAGGAGGTAAGTTAAATCCCATGTATATGTTTTCTCACTTGTCTCCTAGGAATCCAGCTCTCTTAGCTTTCTTTATCTTCTGGAGGCAATCACGAAATAGAGAGCGCATGGAAGACAGAGCTGTGTTAAATCCCAGTACCCTAAATCTCTGTTCTCTTCCTCTTGTTTCTAGCATGATATTTTGATTTTTCCATTTCAGAGAAAACTATCTTTCTTACTGCACTTTAATTTTTGCCATAGAGATTTTGACCCAGTCACTTCTTCCATTAGTATATAGTGTTAATTACATCGAGGTCATAGCTACAATCTTATACCAGTAAATTAGGACTGTTCTAATAAAAGTTGTTTCCATCCCTTACAAGCTCTGCTTCTGAATATAATAAGATGTGTGATAAAAGCTTGTCACTGAATTAAGGCTGATCAAATGAGCGAATTTGTTGGTGTAAACTCGCTGCTATTGCAGAACATCTGTGTATGATGAATATGCCACTATCATTTTCTGTGGGGTCATCTTACAGAGAAACAAAGGACACTGTAAACAGAACCAAAAGACATATTCCCAGATCATTATGAACAAAAACAAAAATATTTGGACAGAGTTTTGGGGTGAGAAACATTAAGATTGCCACTATTCCCTGAATGTTTATTACAAACGAGGCACTGTTAACAACTTTTCCCAGATTGTATTCTTGAACCAACATCCTTATGAGATTGGTATTATTATACTAAAATATCCACACATAAAATATTCCTTTTGGTCACAAACAAATTAACAATGCAGATAGGTACTTCTAGAATGTCCACCAGACAAATGAAAAAGCTAGGATAAGCAGTTTACTGAGCACACATGGCCAATGGTAGTTCCAAACAAGAATCAAACCTAATCTCTTAACTCCATCCTTAAAGATCCTTCCAAAAACACAAGATATCTTTCCATTTTCACCAAGCAAACTTTACAGTATTATCAGGTATGTGTTCTTATCATTCTGTAATATATAAGCCATTTGGTTACCCAGTGATTTACTTTCAACCCATGCAAGGTTACAAACACCTCGAAAACAGGAATTAACTCTTTCCAGCTTCATACTGCAAAAAGAAGGAGCTCTGAAAAATCTGCGATGATTCTTGGAAATATCCTCAGGAATCATCCTTGCAAGCCTTCCCTTTGTGGTGGCTCCTGTCAGGCCCCACTTTTCCATAGAGCCTCTGGAAAGCCTTCTCAGCATTTCCTTCTCAACACAGGTGAGTTTGCTGTTTGTGAGCCATGCAGGCTCGGTCGGGGCAAATGCAGGAAGGTTTGTTTGGAGAATGAGAAGATTTCTGGAAATTGCAAGCTGAACTACTTCTGCTGCCGGCACAGGATCTGATAAACTGACCCTCACCCGTCTGGCTTGGAAGCAGGTCTGGTTATTCAAAGAAAGTCAAGAGAAATTATTGGCTTAATCAAGTCATATCTTGAGTGAGTTCAGGGTTGCTCTCATTCCTTCTCTCTTTGTTTTGTAACTTTACTTATTTTTAAAATTTATCTGTAAAAAAATTAAGACATGAGCTATACCTAATAACTACTCACTTACTTGTGTATTAGAACTGGAGTAGCTTATTATTTCTGAATTTCTCTTCCATAATATACCTTATATGACATATTGTTATCTTATGAGGCAGGATTTTTATGTAAAGAGTTTTTTTATATGTAAAGAGATTGCAAATTAGGGAGGCTGTAATTTCCTAGGAACTATAGTTAGAAACCAGTAAACAATATAAACATTGCTGTTTTGTGAATATATTTGTATGTACTAATTCTCACAGATAGATGGAAGTGTCATCTACATTACATCAATGGAGTTATAATTCTGCATGTTCTAAGATATTTTATGCACGTCACTTTTTGGTATGCCAATATGTTGTCATTCATCAACTCTAGAAGTTATGGTTTATATTTCAAACAATTCACATCTACTAACTAATGCCTTTTGCACCAATTTTACATGTCTCTTCTTGCCTATGAAAGAAAATGATTAGAGATTAGTTTATAATGATTTGTTCAGAATTCATGCAAATGGTTGGCTGTAATGTTTGCCTTGTGATATAACATTTGTGTCATTTCAAAATAAAAATTAAATTATTAGTCTTATGTTCAGTGACTCAAAAATGATCACTCAACTTAACATATAAGACTGAACAGCATTTTGCTTCACATTTCAGTCTGTCATTTTTCTCTCCATGCTCTGATCCATTCCTTATCTTTTCCCTGCCTTGTTGTATAAAAACAGAACTATTCGCTGTAAACACAACAGTCCCCAGCCTTCATCCTTCTGCCTGTTTTCAGTCAATGCAATTGTCTTGTGAGAGAAGGGTTCATGAGATAAAGGGAAAATTCAGGGGACTTCTCCCCTTCTGTCTTCCCTGAATTAGCTCCATGTTCCACCGTATAAAGCCCCTGCTTAATGTCACTTGGTGGTTCACTCCAGGCCAGCTCCTGCCAGTCTGTCCTGGCTCCTGGGCTCATACCAATCTTTCTGTGATTACTTAAGTCACAAGGTAAGTGAGGAGTTCAACTGTGTATTTCAGAGTTACCTCATTGTTGCAGCATAGCTTTGCATTTCCAGCTTTGCTGTCATTTTATTTTATCTAACTTTTACTTAATAAATATAAATTTCCAAAGTAAAACTTTTGGATTATAGTGGCTTTTTCCCCCCATTACCTCCCTCCCACCTGCAACCATCCCATCTCTCACTCCCTCTCCCATCCCATTCTCCATAAAGATTCATTTTCAATTATCTTTATATGCAGAAGATCTACTTAGTATTTACTAAGTAAAGATTTCAACACTTTGCACCCACACAGACACACAGAGTATAGAGTACTGTTTGAGTAGTAGTTTTACCATTAATTCGCAAAGTACAACACATTAAGGACAGAGATCCTACATGGGGAGTAGGTGCAGAGTGACTTCCATTGTTGATTTAACAATTGACACTCTTATTTATGACGGCAGTAACCACCCGAGGCTCTTAACATGAGCTGCAAAGGCTACGGAAGCCTCTTGAGTTCACCAACTCCAATTTTATTTAGACAAGGCCATAGTCAACCTGGAAGTTCTTTCCTCCCTTCAGAGAAAGGTACCTCCTTCTTTGATGGCCCATTCTTTCCGCTGGGACCTCACTCACAGAGATCTTTCATTTAGGCCTTTTTTTGGCCACAGTGTTTTGGCTTTCCATGCCTGAAATACTCTCATGGGCTTTTTTACCAGATCCGAATGCCTTAAGGGCTGATTCTGAGGCCAGAGTGCTGTTTAGGACATCTGCCATTCTATGAGTCTGCTGTGTATTCACTTGGACTTACCCCTAATGGTAGAGTTAGAAACGTGCCAGGGAAATTCAACTCAATCCCATCAAGGTGGCATGTACCAATGCCATCTCACTAGTCAAAGTGATCAGTTTCAATTCTTAATTAATCATAATGATAGGATTAAGTGCCAAAGGGATCACATAAACAAGACTAGTGCCTGCTAATAGTAATTGATAGAATTAAAAAGTAGAGAATGATCCAAAATGGGAAGCAGGATACACAGAAGACTCATTTGCTGTCATTTTATCATCCACTCTTTAAATAAAAAAAAAATTTTTCTTTGGAAACAACTGGGGTGGAAACCCTTTTCATGCCTTGACACTGATTGATTCAACTCCTAGTTTCACTCTCTTATCAAATCTATTTGCATTTAATTGATAGTTCTCAGAAAGAGATCTGAAACATAATCCTTGCAAAAGCTAAAGTGTTTCTTTATTTACATGAATGCTTTCCCTCAGGGAACTGTTCTTATGAATCTACAGCTTAGCAGTCATCTGCTGATGGGTGCTCCTCCTATCCAATTCTCAACAGTGAGTGTACAGCACGTGGGATACTCCCTACTTGTTGCAGAGTTTGCACTGTTTGATTTAAAAGAATTAATCAGACTACTGAGGTCCCTCATTGGAGTTTCTTTTAGAGAAAGACTCCTATGCTGGTGTCAATACAGAGTGGGGAGCCAGTAGTTGTGCCCTGTAGTTATCTTGTATAGAATCCAGAGACTTAGAATTGTAGGAGGCACCTCTCGTTGGTGCTCAGGATCTCACACATTATCCTCCTTTTTCTTACTCTCTCCTCTCTTCTGCAATTGGCCTGCTTTTAGATATTTTGTAACCAATGCCCACCACCCTCTTCCTTGAGGCATCTAGTCTCCCCCCAAAGTAAACTTTTGACCCATGTTAATTTATTCATATTTGGAATTTTCATTTTTGGTGTTAATGGCATGCCAATGATTTCCCAGCCTGTTTCTTTAATTCTGTGGGCACTTAGGAATTTTTCTGGTGTCAATTTCTGTTGGGGATGCTGAAGGAGAAGTTCTTCTCTTTGGTGGGTGGGTTAGAGGGAAACAACAGAGAAGAAGAGACACTGGTGCATTTGGTTTTCTCTTTAAGTAATTCTACTTTGTTCAGTCCACATAACTTCCATGTTTACAATGGCCTTAACACCATTAATTTAAAAAAATATATCTATGAAACTGTTATATTAACCAAATATGACTCCTTTTTTGTTTAGGATTCCATTTCACGTTCCCATCACAAAACCCGAAAGATTCCCAAACTTTTCTGTAGAGGAAGATTGATCAGTTTGGGCTCAAGTTTCAAAATAAAGGAGAAGATATTAACATCATCAAATACCAATTTCTTGGTTGAGGTATTGAACATAAATTCAGGATTAGCAACGAGTTGATCTTCACATGAGTCCTAAAAAAGGCTCACACCTATCTGAAGATGCAGAAGAGGGTGTGGAGGGCATTTTCTTGAAGGCGTCTATATCCCTGCAGAACAGTGCTCTTTCTACCTTCTACCTGTTAAATTCTTTATTTAGAAGAAGATTAAACCTTTGGCTATAAAGTAAATTGAAATTATACTGGGGCTGGCGTTGTGGCGTACTGGATAAAGCTACTGCCTGTGATCTCAGCATTCCATAAGGTAGTGGTTCATGTCCTGGCTGTTGTACTTCTGCTCCAGCTCGCTGCTAATGGCCTGGGAAAACCAGCAGAACATGGTACAAGTTGTTGGGCCTGCACCTATGTGGGAGACCTACATGAAGCTACAGGCTCCTGGTTTAGGCCTGGCCTAGCCCAGACCATTGAGGCCATCTGAGGAATGAACCAGCAGATGGATGATCTCTCTGTCTGTCTATCTGTCTATCCTTTTCTCTCTATGACTCTCTTTCAAATAAATAAATACTTTAAAAAGAAAATATGTTTTATAAAAATTAATAGACTAAAAAAAGAAAGAGGAGAGAGGCATATAGGGTAGGCAGTATCAGTATGCACTTAAATGGAGTTCATGGAATGTGTTCTTTTTATATAAATAAATATAAATAAAGGGAAAAAAGAAAGCTAGAAATCTAAACAAGCTGGGGTCAAATTCCTTTGGCAATGTGCTGATGTGTTCTGATGGTGATTTCACTCTATACCTCCAAAAGAAACCATCAGGAAAAGCTTACCTACACAGCAGGTCTGGTGAAATAGGCTTCAGTAAAGCTAAATGGAGAACTCAGCATCTCTGACTTACACATGAAAATATCTACAGACAAAAGTCCATGGCTGAGAGGGCTCAATGTGAAAGGAAGTGTGTCTGCACGTAAAAAAGCACAGAAGTGAATTGGATTCCCTCGCTTCCTCAGAATAGTTCTTTAAATGATTTCATTAAACTCTGGTCTTGAAATAATGACCGTATGCTATTCTGTGTTGTTTTTCATTGGTGGCTCCTACAGATCTATTAGTGTGTAAGTTTGTGGATGGAGGACAAAAGAAGAGACAGAACCCAAATAAATACATTTCTAATGGAAGACCCATGGCATAGAGGAGAGACTGCAATGACACTTACTTAGGGCCCAACTATAGCTGCTATACAGACAGATTTTACCCTTCACCATACAACATTGCTACAAACCAAATGTTCACACAAACCTCTATTATAGCCTATATTGCATCTCCTGTATCTGCCTACCAGGTGCAAAGTCCTTCTTGGATGCAACCTCAAATGTATATTCTACAGCCCTCCAGTGCCGTGTTGACTCCCACAGTGGAGCACAACATGTCATTACAGCCTGCATCTATGATCAGCCCCCTGGCCCAGTGGATGAGTCACCTGTCACTTGGATATCAATGGAACATACATGCCCACAACATCAGCTATGCAAGGAGCCTATTTGCTGCAGTATCCACACATGCAGATGACAGCAGTTCCTGTTGAGGAGGCAGTGGTCAGCAGCAGGTGGCTGTAGAGATGTCTAATGACCATTCTCCACTTTCCGTTCAATCCGATAAGTAACTTTGAGATGTACAGAAGGGTGTTCTCTACATGAAGGAGGGTGTGAAGGCTGAATAATCATGGATTTTTCT